CGGATCTCTGTGAGTTCGAGGCCAGCCTGGTCTCCAGAGCGAGTGCCAGGATAGGCTCCAAAGCTACACAGAGAAACCCTGTCTCCAAAAACAAACAACAAACAAGACCCCATCCTTTTCCACACACCCTACAGTCAGTCACAGATACCTGCTGCTCTGCCTGCCCACAATGCTCCCTTCCTTCCCCATTACCATGTCCAGCTACTGGGGTGACTGGACTCAAATCCAGAAGCTAGGGTGCAATCCTGGTGATTACAGACCTTTCTGCTTGGGATAGGCTTTTACTTACAAACAGGGCAATTACCACACATCCAGCAAACACCTGGGGGTTGCTTAGTCTGTAGTACTTGCCCCGCATTCTCCCTTCCATTCTCAAAATGAAGCAACAAGGGCCTGGGCAGAAGGGCTGTAGGAAGTGCTCATAAGAGGCTCTGGAGTGACACGAGAGAGTGGCAGGCCAAGTGTTCCATCCACTGCTCACTCAGTCTTTTCTTTACCCGCTCATACTCTCTGCAGAGCCCTCAGAGTGACTGGCATCTCTCCACTGTCACAGCTGGATTCACTCCAACAAGGAGCGTATGAAGGGCAGCACATGCCCCAGTACCCAGGAGCTGTGGGCAGCAGTGATGCCCACAGAGATGGCTCTTGAAAGATCAGAGGGCAGTGCTGTGGGCAGAGCAGGGAGTTGGTTGCTGTGGGGAAAGCAGAGGACAGCAGTAGTGGTGGCTCAGGGTGCCAAGGCTGGGCAGTTACTGTGTGACAGGTTGGTTCGTGTGCTGTCCTTGTCCTGGGACTCAGCTGTATAGTCCTAAATGCCCAGCCAAGAGGCTCGGACCAGATGGCATGACCCAATGCAAGAAGGGGCTATACACAGGCTTCCAGCAGACCAGCCTTTGGCCAGCCAGCACTGCCTGCAGGGCAGGGTGGCTTTGGAGAGGCAGCCATCTTTGGAATCAATGCAATAAGAAAAACTACCAATTAGAGACCTATAGGAATATAGAAGATGAAATCCAAGCAAGCAGGTGCCCAGTGTGAGCCATGAGCAGGGGTAGTACTCACATGCAGCCTTGGGCAGGCCAATGAACACAGGCTACAGCTTCCTCCACTGCCTAAAGACCAAGGTCCCTTGCATCTGCCGAATTCTCCAGGAAGCATTAATAGGGCCACAGATCAAAGCCTTCAGAGTACCCAAGTGTACTGTGACCTTGGGTGACTACTTCTCTCCTGCTCCATTCTGGGCACCAGTCTTATCTCTTCATTGCATCTCCTCATCAAACAGCCCAGCAGCCTCAGCAGGTGTTTCTAGAGCCCAGTCTGATGACATGGGCAGGTGGGTGGACAGAGAGATGGGGAGATCCAGCCTCTGAAACTTTAGGATAAGTTCCCTGCAGACACCATTGTGCTTTCAGATGGTCCTAGGCTGACATATTTGTTTAATCTTGATTATACAACCCAACTTCCTTCAGGGAATGAGGGATAAACACTCTGTTTCCCCCTACTCCACCCACCTCACCCCCACACACTGAAGACACAGACTTGATGAGAGGCAAAGAAAACCAGAGTGGTGGTGGGTAGGATGGATATGTTCTCAACACAGAGTGAAGACACTTAAAAATCAAGGGCAAGAAGTGTCCTAATGTGCCTCCAGAACCTGCCCAGGGACACAGGGGACTGGAGTTAGCAGGAGGGCCAAGGCTCTAGGCACGTCAGTAGGAAACTGAATTCAGTCACTTCAGCAGAGGCAATCAACAGAAGAAAATTGGAGGAAGAGACCAATCTTTCCAGCCCCAAACCCACTGCACTGTTCATCTCTGTGTTGGTCCTGCTGCAAGCCACAGTCCCCCACTCTGAATCCCCCATGATGAAGGTGCCTCAGCAACTGCATCTGGCTTTTAAGGTGAATCCTCACCTTACCATCACCACTTCTGGTAGACAAGCTGGCTCTGGGCAGTCATCACCCACAGTGCACACAGCTTGGCACTGAGGCACAAGCCCCTGTTTGCAGACCCCTTCTCTGCAGCGGCAAGAGGACTCAGTTGCTCACCACCTTTGCTAAGACTGTTGGTATGCACCTCATCCTGCCCCGGCCTGGCCTTCCTGGCACTTTATTGTGGAACGTCCATCCCGTCATAGCTGCCAAGCTGCAGCTGTGAACACAGCTCTCAGCCGCTGCCACCAGGACCAGATTCATTTGGCTAGGATGAGGCTCCCAAATCACACCAGGGACAAACCCTTTCCTTCCACACTTAGCCAAGGACCCTGGTTAGTGAGGCCCATCTAGGAACCATGAGAGCCAGCCAGAGAGGGGATTTCTGGAAGGTGGAACAGTGCAGACCTCCGAAGTCACCCTTGTGGTTGACAGCAGGGACAGTCTCTGCCTGACAACCTCACAGCCAGTAGCTCTGGCCCCACCCAGGGGTGTGGTGTCAGTCTTTCTAGAGTTCAACTAGAGGAACAATGCCTGACACTAAGCCATGCAGATTCAAAACTGGGGTGGGCAGACTGGGCATCTCCACTGCCCAGTCCTGGGTAAGCCTCTGAATGCTCCTTGGGTGGCTCTTGCTGTGGCACTGTGTCCAGTCTGTGCTTTGCTACTAATCTGCCTGAGG